ATCCAGGTCACCGCATCCAACAGCTCGGAGGTCTTTAGCAAGTTCTTGGGTTCTCTCATATGCAACTGCTAACATTCTAAGGTACTAAAGACCAAAAAACAAGAGTTAACTTTCGTATCCCATTTATACTAGGCAAATGGACAAGAACAAAGAAAAGGAGGTATGTACACACTAGTAATAGTCCGCCTTCTTGCACAGGTGGTGGACTCATAAGAGAGGGCTTCACCAAAATTTTGTCAAGAATACCTGTAACACGCTGCTCGAGAACTCTCTGCATAAAAATAAAACAAGAGTTGGTATAGCTTATCAATATGATAGGGTCCCCCGGTACAGTTTCCAAACTATTGCTGCCCCTTACCTGAACTAAGATTGCCATAACTTCATTTGGAGCGGGGAAAACAGCTGTAATGGTTGCTGCTTCTTTGCGTACAGTGTCTACAGATGAGACGTGAGAAAAAATGAATCGGCAGAAAAGCATGTTTCAAGTATTGCATCCAGATCAATGACAGTTCTTCATACCTGTAATTTCTTTGTATAAAGAAGAAAGTCCACGGGCAACATTGCTAGGACTAGGCTGAGAACCGTGGTCACCCAGCACTAACCTAATGTCTGAATTCATGACTTCCACATCAATAAACATTGGACGTGTTGCCACATAGTGTTGCATAGCACTTGTACCCCTGTTAAACTGAAAATCAAGAAGAGAAAAGCTGAACATCAAGAAGCATATACAAGAGGAGAACCCGTTATCTATTTCTTGTGTTACATCCTTATCTAGAATTAACCAGTATGTAACCACTAGCTACGTAAGAAAGGCCTTCGTCTGGAATCTAGAACAAAGGAACATGTTTTCCTTACAGAACTGTAAAGGTGCATGCTTCAAAATAGAGTATTCACCTGTGACAAAATCTTAGCACATTCTGACATGGTGGATAGATCTCTCCGCTGTGATGCCGCATCAAAACGAGATAAAAGCCTGTTCTCCAATTCTAAAAAAATTGTATTCAAATGTCACAAAGGCTGAATTTGAAAATACACTAACATTCTTCAGTGAATATACAGAAAACAAAGCATATAAAATAGTTTACCATTACAGTAATCCTGAAGATTAGCAACTGCAACTTCCAGTCCTCGGCCAGGGGTTGCATTTCCTGCAGCTGTACTCGCACCTTGCCTTCCAATGTCTTCCTCAGCAAAGGATCCTGATATTGACAAGGAGAGCATCGAAATCAGTTACAGACTAATTTACCTGGAAGCAAGAGTGTTACGGTTTAGCTCTCACATCACAGATGAAGAACACTTTCCGCAAATAATAGATAAAAGATCAAATCTAGACACGCTGTAAGTATATAGCTATCATATCATACGTAATTTCTGAGCGATTGAAGCAGCCTCAGCTACGCGACTATCATCAGAAAACAAAGCGGAAAGCTCCATAAGATCCCCTGGGCTGCCGTTGAACTCCATCAGGTACTGCATTTGCTCCAAAAAAAAGAGTTACTTAAGCATTCATCTAAATAATTATGCCATAAACATTCCAACTTAGATACGGTCTTACCTTTATAAGCTCTATGGTCTGGCTAGCAGTTTCCCGCTGAGCATCAGCACTCTGATAGAAGAAGTATGGGTCAATAATGGACAGATCACAAAATAGTTGGTTATATACGGAACTAATTTCGAACCTGCAAATGATCTCCTATTTTTGCAGCGGTCTGTCCAACACTAGAGATACGACCGTCCAACCTTGCAAAGCTCTCAAACAGACCATCCACACCTTTCTCTATCTAAACGCAGAATTCAATATGTCATATTAAAGAAATCTAGTCAGGGTGTTATTCAAAAACTACCCAAGAAAATCTAATGAACGAAGAAGTATTTGTCTGCTGAACCTCAGTAAGTGTCTTCCTGTGTTTGGCATCTTGGGTTGAAACTTCTTTCTTTAGTGTGTTGAGTCTTCCATCAACCTTCCAAAACATATAACGAAAAAACTTAGATATCATATCACAAGGATTAAAAGAAAGAAGAAACACAAAGGACTGTATCCGGTGCAGAGACACACACCTGCTTTCTTAAATCAATCAACTCCTTGCAAGCATCTTTAAACAGAGACAAGAGACCATCAACTTCAGGGAAGAAAGGAGCAGAAGACATCTGAGACAACCTAGACTGATCAGCATGCCCACGTAAATGCCCATTCGCCATACCATCAATGTTTCCGTGTCCATCACCTGAATCAGCTTCTTCTTCAAGGAAAGACGGTAAGAGATCGTTCACTAGGTTCCCAAATAACGCATCGAATGAAAAGTCACCCTGTTGAGTGTGACCAAAAACAAATCAGAAACTCCTAATGATTTCAATCTCAAGGTGAATCCTTTTACCTTGAAGTCTTCAATGTCAAGTATCAGAGGATTAGAGGTAACAGAGGATGATGATTTGGGAGCTCCTCTTGCTCCTCTCATTCCTTCTGTCATCTGATTAAAAATTTAACAAAACAAAATTCTTCAAATTAAAATTCCAACGAGTTGAAGAATCAAGCCTGAGAGATCATATCATTCAATAAGGGATATGCGTCGGATTCTGGATTTTTTTTTTTAATTATAATCAAAAACGACTGTAGCAAAACATTCGCTGATTTTTCTCAGCTAAAATGTAAATAAGTCAGAGCCTAAGGACGACCGGTTAAGCGGGTAATGATACGGAGAAACTTACCGACGGTGAGCAGCGAGATCTAGCCGGCGGAGACCGGTAACTGTGTGGAGAGAGACGGTGTAAACTATGGCGTAGTTAAGATTTGTTTTCGCATCTTCGACCTCGTAATGAGCTGTTGTTACTTTATTATTCTGTACCAATTTTTTTTTTGGTTAAACCGGCCGGTTTAAGTTTCTGTTTCAGGTTTAAATTGTTTGTTTTGTAGTTTTCGGTCGCGCCAGATTTTGTTTAGGAAGATTTGCCTTACGAATACTCAGGAGTGAGAGTGTGCACTTGTATAGATTCATCTCGAGTCTTTGGAACACTATGGTTTCAAAGTAGACAAAGAGTTACCATATGTTGTATGACTCACTTTGCTTTATTACACACTTGTAAGGAAAGTATTGAAACACACATGCTATACAGAGGACACTAGTAACCTCCGCCTTCGAAAAATAACGGCAGAGTCATACATAAACGGTCTGCATTTAAAGAACAAAGAGTTTCAGATTTGCATATTAATGAGGATTTGAACTTAACATAAACTCCAAAGCATTGTCAGCTCAGTAACAACTCTTATATAAAGAAGCTCAAGGTGGAATGGAAGGAATATCGAAAAGTGATAGATCTGTCAAAGAGATATCTTACGTAGAAGAAAAAGCATGGCCACTATTGTTTCTCCTCCACATTTCTCCCCTGTTGAAGATGCTGAAAACATCAAGAAGGCTTGCCAAGGTTCTTCTACTCTTTCTTTTTTTTAAGACTAGTGCTTCAAGTTTTGTTTATTACCTCCTTTTTTCTTGGGTTTCAGGATGGGGAACCGATGAAAAGACCATCATCTCGATCCTAGGACACCGGAACTTGTTCCAGAGGAAACTCATAAGACAAGCTTACCGGGAGATATACCATGAGGATCTCATTCACCAGCTCAAATCTGAGCTCTCTGGCGACTTTGAGGTCTAGCTTTTAATCCACATGGTATACTCTGTTTCGGTTAGTTCGCAAAATGTGATTCTCATGGAGAAATGTTTGTGTACCTGCAGAAAGCTATATGTTTGTGGGTTTTGGATCCTCCAGAGAGAGATGCTCTCTTGGCCAACTTGGCTCTACAAAAGCCTGTTCCTGACTGCAAGGTCCTCGTCGAGATTGCTTGCATGAGATCCCCTGAAGATCTGTTAGCTACCAGGCGTGCTTACCGTTGCCTCTACAAGCGTTCTCTTGAGGAAGACTTGGCCTCCCGTACTACCGGCGACATCAGGAAGGTAAGTCATTTTTTAATTTCAAAATGTTCTCTTGTGTTTTAACTGATCTTGCACGTTTGAGACGCTTTCATACAGCTCTTGGTAGCAACGGCGTCTGCTTATAAATATGATGGAGAAGAACTTGATGAGAAGCTGGCCCAGTCAGAGGCTGCTATTCTTCATGATGAAATCCTCGGCAAGGCTGTTGATCATGAAGAAACCATCAGGGTGATAAGTACAAGGAGCAGCGTGCAGCTCTGCGCAATCTTCAACCGCTACAAGGATATCCATGGTAGATCGATCACTGAGGTAAACCAAAAAAACATGGACATCAAGTTATGTAATAACTGATGATTAAACTGTGAGAAAACAACCAACGGGAAATGTTAAGATAACGAAAAGAGCAACTCGTACCAGTTTTCCTTCATGACAATGTACTTTGTTGACAATATCCCTAATGAAACGTTTGATGATTCTCAGGATCTTCTCAGTCACCCTACAAATGAGTACCTGAGTGCACTGCGTGCAGCAATCAGGTGCATCAAAAACCCTGACCGGTACTATGCCAAGGTAAGAAAGAACAATGATATAACAAAGCTTACACATGGTCTCTTATTTTTCCTAAAACGACTACTGGTATTTTTTAAAATCTCTTCTGCACCTAGGTTTTGCGCAATGCAATCAATACAGTAGGGACTGATGAAGATGCTCTGACCCGTGTGATTGTCACACGAGCAGAAAAGGACCTGAAGAAGATCACTGAGCTGTATCTCAAGAGGAACAATGTGAGTCTCGATCAAGCCATAGCAAAAGAGATATCAGGGGACTACAAGGCTTTTCTTCTAGCCTTGCTAGGACATGGAGGAATCTAGAGTTCACCCTCAAATCAAAACCTGACAAGAAGTAGCATTTCTTCTAATTTCTACTTAAGTAATAATAAAAGTATCTGCTTGATGCTTCGTCAACTCAGTAATGCTGTTTAGCTATTCATAATAAGATTGGAATTACAACTTATTTGTTTTCCTTTAATAAAAAACATTCTCCCAAGCCCTTTAATAAATACATTCTTCCAAGCTCTCAAAGAAACCAAACAAACTCACTGAGGATGAGGGAACCATGCACATGTACGGGTTCTTTCCTTTTCAGCCACTGCGTATCAAGGCTGCAGCAATACCAGCAACAATCCCAACAGCAGTAACAGTGATTCCAACGCCGATAACACCATCTGCTTACAAAAATTCAAATACAGCTAAGAGAATATAAAATAGGAAGAGAAATGGCACAGATACCATAATGTGGTTTACCTTTCACGATACGGTCCTCTATAGCCGTTTTTAGCATCTGTGCCTGTCTCCACTCTGGTTCAACCTAAAACCAAAGAAATAGAAAAGAGCACATTGATGAATACTTCAACAACAATAAGATATTCTGGATGATATAACATGATTAAACCTCCAAACACCGTTCTATACACTCTCTGCTTCTTGAAAAGTCACCGCTTCGATAGTATCCAATAGCAAGGAGATATAGATTCTCCTTCAGTTTCATTGGACTTGTATCACTAACCACCGAACCTGCAAAACAAAGAAGAAACATTATGCTACGATTCATATCAATAACATGGATCAAAATCATCCACCTCCAGAAGAAATTTGAGATTCCATAAATGATATGTAAATTGTTAATATATACTCCCTCCATTTCATTGTAGTTGTAGTTTTATGCACACAGATTAAAAAACATTTAATTTTGCACATTTTCTAAACATAAACACTATTAATTATACTTTTTAACTAATGAAAAATAGAATAGCATATAAATTTACTAAATTTTACATTGAAATTATAAACACACTTATTTTGAATTTGAAGTTAAAATTTTACTCTATAAAACTGAAACTAAACTGAAACGGAGGGAATATAAAGTTTGGTATATATACCTTCAAGCATTGCTATCCCACGCTGTATATCCGCAGGTGTCTCCGAATGAACAAGAGCCCATGATAAACGCATGATGCATTCCTTCTTAAACCCTTCGTCTTGGCCTTTCTGAGCCTCTGCAAGCTCTTTCTCACATCCCTGTGAATGAAAAACGCTTTAGCTCACATACACGCATATAAAAAATCTACAAACAAGCAAGAGAATTCAGAATCCGAAGAAGACGAAAAGAGTTAATCAATCACAAACAACAGGAGAATCGTGATCATCTCGAGGTTCCTATGCGGTCGATTTGAGGGAACAATTAAGGAGATTAGTCGTAAGAAGTTACCGAGATGATGTCGTTGTCGCACAAGGGAAACTCGTCGGAGGAGCCAGAGGAGAAGAATGTAGAGACGGAATCGAAAACCTTTCCTATCGTCGCTTCCATCTCGTATAGAGTTTTTGAGTGTCTCTTTTTTTTCCTCCGTTGTGGTGACGAATTAGAAAGACTTGACCAGAAATCAAACTATGGCGGTTATCGGTTTGGGTTTGTTAAACCGGCTTAAAAGTTACCATTGATCTTTAGTTTCTAATTCAATGTTCTAAATCGTTAGGCTGATTTAATTGAGCGCCAAAAGTCAATTGTTTGAACGTCTGGACCAATATATAAAAAAAATTGATAAAATTATTTTGTTTTTGATTTGTTGATTAGACGACACCTAAACATGTCTATACCGATTTTTAGAACATTAAACCAATATTCTACAAAATCAGTTTGTCTGCTTGTCTATAAGATTAATTTGTTATAACTAAATTTTTTGATATATGACTCTAATCGATTTAAAATGTTCTAAACTAATTTTTTTTGAGCAAATTCTAAACTAATTAATATTAATTTATTTCAGTTTAAATCGATCTAAATTGGTATGAATTTATCACATCAAACAATAATATTTGCGTAAATCTACAAATTTGTAATTCTTTTTTGTATATCCAAACTTTATAATATATCAAAATAATTTTATAATTAAACTTAAATACTAAAATATCTAACACATATAATATATTTATATACAAACATAATATATCAATAATTTAATAAAGCATAGTTCCCATTTAGGCTCCGACTAATCATTAATTCTCTATAAAGTGTTTAGTTACTAGCTAACGATTTCTTGAACATTTTTTTACCACCATGTAATATTTTAAAATTACAATTTTTTAATATTCTTATTTCATAAACATAAAGTAAAAAAGATTAGTTTTTTAACTGTTGTAAAAAAACAAAGGGAGTCAGTCACCACTACTGAATGTGCATAAAGGTTTATACATGAGAATGGAGTGTACGGGGTTGGGAGGGATTTCATGGTGCATGAGACTGGTTAGATGAATGTGTGATCTAGAGTTCTTTTAAGCAATGATATAACTTAGCTAGAGCTAGATGTAGTAACAACACATATTAACTTAATATCTAATAATATTCTTAAGTTTCAAATTTGATATTTTATTTTTAATAATATCTGCCATTTTTCAGTTTAATATAGTTTACTTGTTTATTGATGATCTATTTATATAAACTACAAGAGTGATGAAAATGTCTTAAAATAGCCATATATATTAAATTTAAAATTCACTATGTGATTTTGATTTTTAGCTAAACGATAAGTGTACTATGTATATCAAAATATCAACTTCCAGTAATCTATATTTTGAATAACACTAATTTCTACACTATAATATTATAAATATAGTTTCTAGAGACAAATTAAAATTTCAGTGCTAGAAATTTATCCCAAAGCTTTGTAAAAAATATTAATTTTAATCATTTATAAAATATAAAACATATAATTTATAGAATCACTCATATAATTTATAAAGGACACAATTACGAGCAAAAATAATATTACATTATTTTGTACTTTAAAATATTTTTTTTATTTACCCGACCTCATTATGTTATCTATCAGTGTCTAAAGCTAAAACTTTTGAATCCAGTTACAAAAAAAAATATTTTTTCACTACAATAAAAATATTATGTCCCAAACTATGCCAAAATTAAGACATCATTGTTAGTCTTAAACCATTATATTATAAAATATTGTATTGTAAATATGAAAATAATTTAGTGCTAAAAATATGGCTTTACCAGTTTAACCTTAAGATCAGTTCTAACATCATCTAACAAAGAAGTTTTATACGGCTGACGTGTATAGCTAAATAAAAAATGTGTAATCTCTTCAAAAAAAAAAAACAAATCTCTACAAATTATTATTTTAAGCCAATACATATTTTTGTACATTACGAGATTGGAAATATAATCTATAGAAATAAGGAAATTAAAGATTTCATAGAGATATTTTTATCCGAACGTGTCAAAAGGTTAGTGATTATGAAGAGATACTCATATTTAAAAGATAGGACCGTAAGGTTATATAACCACTCATAGAATCCCAAGAAAACATTAGAATTTGTTTCGTGTTCATTGTCGGCGACAATATCTGACATCTGATACCTGATATTCGATATTTGAGATCCGACTTCTGACATTCAACACTGTAAGAATACTTTTTCTTTTTCTATTGATCTGATTTTATTTTAAAAACTGATTTTAATAGTTTGTTATTGGTGTCACTTTCGAAATTAGTTTAATTCGCAAATATTTTGGTAATGATTCATTGCTCGTGTCTTCTTGCTTGTTAATTTTCTTTGATTTTTATTTTATAATTTTTATTAGCTATTTTATAATTAAAAGTGAATTAATCTAATTTGTTTCTTGTTCATATATCATCAACAATATGATAAAATTATCTCGTAATTGACATAAGCTTTGAAAGTCTGAAAACACCATATACATATAAAACACACAATTGTAAAAAACATAACACAAGTGTTTCAAAAAAGAGTTAAAGAAACATTACACAAATTAAAATAGTTTATCTGCACAAAAACATAACACAAACATGACAAATAATTTGGTGTTCTAGATATTTTCTTTTTCAAGGAAAGAACTTTATATACAAACACACACACAGATACAGTATATATTTAATGATGGATTGTCTTTAGTTAATTTTTTTACACACGGTATTTTTGGATTTGTCTGGTTAGTTAATTTATAAAGAATATAATTATACATTGATACATATATTTAGTTATCTTTTATAAAACCAAAAAAAATCAATCATTTTATTTATCTTTTATAAAATCATAATGTATCATATTAAAAGAAAAATATTATAGTAAATTGTATTAAATGGATAATTTAGTCTATTTTGTTTTCATAAATAGAAAATATTAACGTTGAAAAATAATATGCTGACATAACAAGTTAACATTAGTAATATAATACATTTATAAAATTAACATATAAACTTTTATATACACAATACTATATTATCTAAATAAACATAAAAATTTGTTAGTTTAGTAGAAATTAAATATAAAATAATTTCCAAATATGATTTTTAATACATATATTAGTTTATTTAATAATCAAATGAAAATCTAAGAAAATAAATATATAATAAAAAACGATTGAAATAATTGTTATCAATATATAAATTATAAAATTATTATATTTGTAATAATTTTATAAAGATTTAACTATATAACCAACGTAACTAACCATGTAAAATAAATATTTATGTATATAAAATAAAATTAAATACTGCACGATTAGGCGGTTCAAAATCTTGTATATGTACGAGTTAAATAGATTGACTAGTAGAGATTTGGAGAAGCTATATCTTTTCATTAATTTATAAAAAGTGAAAAATAGAAACGTATCGCACTTTGACCAGAAAATGTGAGGAGGAGTGTGGGAGGGAGAGTGAGAGAGTGAGAGAGTGAGAGTTCGTTAAGCGTTTCTCTATAGAGAATTCTCTTTCTACTTTTCTTCTTCCCCGAAGAGTAGACAGAGAGAATCTCTCTCCCCCTCTCTCTCTCTCTCTCTCCTGCAAGTTGTAACCGTTTCTAGGAAGATAATCAGTTTTTCGCAATCCATACTTTTGGCTAATGGCTTCTCTTTGTTTCGTTGGTTCACAGTTTCGCTCGTGTTTCGTCAATGGAGTTGACTGGAAAAGTCGTTATGAAGGAGATCGACGGGGTCGGATTATGCTCCGGCACGGTGCAGTCTTACGATCTTTCTGGAAATTACCAGATCGTGTACGAGAATGGCGTTACGGAGACTTCGAAATTGGCTCAAGGCAAATCCGAGGAAACGCCGGTTCAAGTGAAGAGGAGCAGGAAGCGTCCTCGTGAGCAGGTCAAGCGATACAATGTGAAGGCTCAGGATGAGGTGAACGTGATGAGGAATGTCGATTTGAACGTTGCGGTTCCTGAGGAGTCAGAGAATTTAAGAGGAGGGAATGTTGATTTGAATTGTGGTAATGTGGAAAATCTAGCTTTGGATTTGAATAGGGCGGTGGTGCCGGAACCTGATGAAGGTGGTTTAGGTTATGAGGAGAATGTTAGGAACAAAAGGAGGAGGTTGATTGATTTGAACATGGATGCGAGCTTTGAATTGGATGATGCTGAGGTGGCGGATAAGAAGGAGGGATGGTTTGATTTGAATGTGGCGGTTAACGAGGAGAACAGCAAGGATCATGAACTGATTAAGATGAATGGAGATGGCGACTTTCAAGAAAGTGAGACTGGAGGATTTAAAGAAGTCAATGTTGCTGAAGTATCCAGCGGCCAGAACGGTGTTTCACTGCAAGATCGCAATGCTCCTGATTCTCATGGGACTGAGACTGTTGATAAGTCTCTCTCTGATAGGGTAGTTCCGGATGAAAATACATCAAGTGCTTGTAGAGTGTTAACTCGAGTTCCTGTCAGTAGCACTGTTATAGCTTGCTTAGCTGATGGAGTATCGCCTTCTCCGTCAGTTAATAGGCTGGCAGCTGAGAGAATTGGGATCTTTGATGTGGAAGGTGAGGATAATTTTGTGCTTCCGCCAAAGCCACAGTTACCTCCATCCTCGGCTATTTTGGATTTAGATGGTCTTCCTGTTCTTTATGTCTTTGCTACTTACTCTTTCCTGAGGTCCTTCAGTACTGTGCTGTTTTTGAGTCCGTTTGAGTTGAAGGATTTTGTGGAAGCGCTGAGGTGCACGTCTCCTAGTCTACTGTTTGATAGCATCCATGTTTCCGTCTTGCAAATACTGAGAAAAGTTTTGGAAAAACGTGCTGATGAAGATGACCAGTCTGCAGCTCTCTGCCTGAGGTATGCTTATTATTTTGGTCTTAGTTTTATTTCTGTTTAATGGACATGAAGCTTCTCCTAGTTTTTGTGCTCATGCTTTGCTGGTTGTGTGTTAAATGCAGGAGTCTTGATTGGGACATGTTGGATATGGTTAATTATCCCCTTTATGTAGTCGAATACCTGCTATTTTCTGGTTCTAAGGCCAGCCCTAGATTGGATCTAAATCGGTTTAACTTATTCAGAAATGAGTACTTCAAACTGCCCGTGAATTTGAAAATTGAGATACTTACCTCTTTGTGTGGTGGTATGATAGATGCTGAAGTTGTCAGATCAGAGCTGACTAAAAGATCTGTTGCAGTTGAGTCTGTTATGGAAACTGATAGGAAGACAAACACAAAAGTACGGCGCGCTATGATGGAGCTGGCAGATGATCTTTCTCCGAATGATGGGGTCGTTGCTGGCTCCTTTGACAGGAACTGTGACGACTGTTGTATTTGTAAAATGGATGGGAGGTTACTGTGCTGTGATGGTTGTTCGGCTGCGTATCATTCTAAGTGTGTCGGTGTTGCCTCTGACCTTTTGCCGGAGGGTGTCTGGTACTGCCCTGAATGTTCATTTGACCGGCGTGGACCAGGATGGAAGCCTGTAAAGAGAATTCGAGGATCGCAGTTTATAGAGATCGATCCCCATGGCCGAAAGTACTACAGCAGTTGTGGCTACTTATTGGTGTAAGTTACTTTCTTTGGCTAATGCATGATGAACCAAATTACGTATATCATGATAAAACATTAAACTAGGTGTCGTTCATGTAATTTTCCTGTAAGTTGAATCGCATGTTTGGACATGTGAAAAGCCTCTTTGATTTCTGCTTAGATGCAATTGTCGCCCCTTAGTTTTGATAACATTTTTTACCGTCAATGTATGCAGATGTGGAATTTTTTTTTATCTTCTACTTCTAGGAACTTTTTCATATACTGATTGTAGGAGCTGCGATATCTCTTCATAGGTTTGCTGATATTGTCGATTATGAATTTGCAGGATAGATACCGGCTCAGTGAACTACTACCATGTGAATGATGTGATCCTTGTGCTGGAGCAGCTCAAGTTATGCGGTAGTTTTTATATTGGCGTAACAAGTGCAATTAAAAAACACTGGAATATCACTGTTAAGGCTCCTCTATCAGCTCCAGAAAAACAGGCAACATCTGGAGTTAAGAAAAGGCTGGAAGAAACATCCAGCAATGGAGGTTCACATCTTCGTTGTCATAGGACTCGACAGAAGATATCAGGTTCAGCTACTGGACCAGATATCCTTACTATGAGTTCTGAAGGATCTGCCAAAACTGCACACAATGATTTCGATGTCCAGAGTCTTCGTGAGCCAGAATCATCGAGCATTTTGGATGTCATGATAGAGCCAAATATGATGAACACAAGGAAAGAAGTTACACCTATTGCGCAGAGTGAATCGGGCTACAGAAACCAGTACATATTTGCTCAGATGACTAGAGCAATTTCTGAAGAGATGGCACGTAACTCACCTGACCATACTAATTATATGAGATTTGATGAAGAGATAGCTTCGACCCAGGTGAAGACTATATTGATGAAAACCACCAAATTTCAGTGGCGAAACATCCAAGGCCTCTACCTAGATGCATGGAAAGAAAAATGTGGATGGTGTCAATCTTGCAAGTCTGAGGATGCCGAGAGCAAGACAAATTGTTTGTTTAATATGAGTCTCGGGGCTTTACAGGGTCCTTCGGAAAGTGAGATTGCTAACATTCAACCCATTGATAACAAAAGTCATCTTATGGCTATCATATGGCAGTTATTATCCATGGAAAGTCGATTGCAAGGTCTTTTGGTTGGTCCATGGTTGAATCGACGGTACTCCAGGATTTGGCGTGAACACATTCTGAACGCATCAAGTATATCAAGCTTGAGACACGTATTGCTTGAAGTAAGTTTTTCTCAACTTTCTTCCTCCTAAAAAAATCATTATGCAATGGTATTTTTTCAAAGTTGAATCATTATTTTAATATTTTGGCAAAGATCAAAACTCTTCATTAATCAATATATATTCACTTTTTATAGTGTGGCTAGGGATGTTGAATGTTTTGCTAGTTCTCCATTTAATCAAACTGTCTTCATGAGCACTTGATTGTTGTGTAGTACATTAGCGATTATTCAAGGTTTCTTTGCGTTTCCTAATGAAGGTTTTGTGAATTACCTTTGCAGTTTGAGGCGAATTTACATCTTGTTCTTTCATCTCAGTGGCTAAACTATGTCGATTCTGCCGTAGAAATGGGCTCGTCTAGACATGTTCTCATTGCTTCCACTCGATCATCGTCAAAGACTACTATATGTAAAACAAGAGAGACATCGTTGGAGTCTGGGGTTAACTCTACTGCACAGAAAATTGGTGGATTGACCATGTGTTGGTGGAGAGGCGGCCGACTCTCAAGGAAATTATTCAACTGGAAGGTTTTACCTCGATCTTTGGTCTCGAAGGCTGCTAGACAAGGTTTACATTTTTCTTGTTTGTTCTTCTACTACTGTCTTTTCACTTCCATTTAGTTGCTTCATTATTCATGCACTCTTAACTATGCAGGTGGAATTGTGAATATCCCAGGAATAATGTATCCTGAGAATTCAGAACCCGCTAAGAGAAGCAGACGTGTTGCCTGGGGAGCAGCTGTTGAGTCATCTACGACTTCAGAGCAGCTCGGTTTTCAGGTAATATAAACTTGGCTGAATGTGTATTGAAGTTACCAAGGGTGTATTGGTAAATCCTGACAAGAATTTCCGTTTCCATTTGACCTAGGCATGAATGTAGATGGTATGAGATCCTTAAAGTTTTTTCTACTGTGTTGAAGTAGATTTATTTATTTGAATTTGTAGATGGTTATTTTACTGACATTTATAGTTTTATACACTGATCATTTGTCTTGTACCATTGTCTCCTATAACGTTGTCTACTTGTAGCCTTGGAAGATTTCCAACTAACAATTCAGTGATTTACAGGTGAAGACACTCCATACTTACATAAAGTGGGATGATTTTGAGAACAGTCATCGCCTTCTTGCATCAGACAACGAATCCAAAAAATCTGCTAGGCTGTTCAACAAAGTGGTTGTCCGTAAGAAGTGCATAGAGGAAGGGACTGTGAAGTATCTCCTTGACTTTGGTAAAAAGAGAAGAATTATTCCGGATGTTGTATTGAAGAATGGTCGGATGATTGAAGAATCCTCGAGTGAAAGTAGAATGTACTGGCTGAATGAATCATATATGCCTTTGCATTTGCTGAAAGTACTTGAAGACAGAAAAGCTGTACGTAACCCTAGGAAGCCAGGAAGCTCTTTTAGAAAGCCTGAGATAAACAAAGTACGGAAAAGGTCCTCGGAGGTAAAAGGATTCTCATACCTATTTGAAAGAGCAGAAAGATCCGAGTCTTCTTTGTGTGAGCAATGTAAGAGAGATGTGCCTTTGAGGTATGTTCTTATCACCACCCTTTTTGTTTTACCTTGAAAATTTTGTTTTGTCTTGATTAGCATAACAATCATATCTTGCGAGTATTGCGTAGAGAAACAGATGAGGAACAGATGAGGAAACTGTTGTGAAGTATTATGAAGTTAGCTTGGCTTGTTGGGACTGCTAACTTGGATGAGTAGGTACTAAAGTGAAGTGGTTGACTTAAGAGTTAGAGTGAACAAATAAGAGATTCATGAACCAGAGATGATTTCATTTTCTTACTGAAATGGAGGGACTTGGTAAACAAGTGAAAGTATGTATAACAAAAAATGTATAATCCATTTTCTATCGAAATCCATTGGTAATGTGGTGTTTTGTTAGCTTTTTCCAAATGTAATTTTGCAACCTTCTTTCTGCTCCCATCACCAATGCTATTTATTTCTGCTCCGATTCTTTTACCAATGGTCAGCATGTTTGGTTCTTCTCTCAACTTTATATACTCTATTGACAAATGTCTCTCGTTTGTCTTAGCACTGTGCTTGAGGTCATTAGGTAACTGTGGAAGTTCTCTCAGCTTGACTTTGGTCTTCTTAAAATGGAATTACCAAAGGAGCAGATGAGGTAAACAACTCAAATTCAGTTCCTTAAAATTTATGGTTTTGTTTGATTCAACACAGTAAAATCTGAGTTACACCGACATTTTTGATGCTAGACAGTCTGCTTAATTTAAGAAAAATGCTTACTGATCTGATCAGACAATGTAAGAAAACAGTCTATGACACTACCAATAAAAACACATAGCATCTTAGTCTTTGAGCAACAAAACATAGCAGAAAAATAAAGTTGCATCACTTGGTAGACGTGAGCTGCCTGAGATTGTACTTTGCGAGCTCCTTGTACTTCTCCACCACCCCAATTAAGCACACTGTCTGTAAATTACAGCACAAAAATACGATTCTGAGTTCATAAACCAACCAACCAGTTTGTTAATGCAAAAAAATTTAGACATCAACATTGTATCCTTATTCACCTTAACAATTTCAACCACGATAGACATCTCCGGGTTACTCAAATCAACTTTGTGAGGAGCAGGAATAGATTTCGCCACAGTGTTTATAATTTTCATCCTATCAAGGCCTGTGTTTGCACGTGCTCCATACAAAACAGCAAACTGCAAATAATGGTGAAGGAGAGAGGTGATAAGCATTTCAGAAGCTAAGAAGGAATACACAAGAAGTTGCTGATAGTATATTATTACTTTCCGGGGGTTATCAGTCTCAACGGGAAAATACTGTTCTACAAGAGGCTTGATGGCTCTTGAAATTTCTTCCTCTGAAGGGTAACACGCGACTTCAATTGGTAAAATTCTTAGGATGAACCTAAACATCACAAGATCTATTAATAAAAATCCGACAAAGGCATAATAGTAATGTTAGGAAGATCAAACCTTGACATATGCTTTTTTGTTGCAGCAGCAGAAGTCATTGCATGCTGTACAATATCTTTGGGACTGGGATCACCATCTCTCCTTTTCATTTGGATGAAGACAATACCGTTGCAACCAGGATCTAACTTCATAAACCGTCTCTGTCAGAATGAAGAAACCAATATAAATAATAAGACATTTATGATCCTCCACAAAGAGATAAAAAATAACGTACACTCAAGATAACAACTTACCTTACTCTTGTCACCTAGCTCTTTTAGTTCAGCATCAATCAACTTATCAATAGACTTCTCTGCATTTACGTTTACTTTTGCTTCTTCCACACATGTCTTCTTTTTTGGAGGTTCTTCAACAACATTCTCTTGTTTCTCTTCTTCTTTTTCTTCTTCCTTTTCAGTTTTTTTGACTTCACATGAACCTTCACTTACTAATTCTTTCTCATCCACTTTACTATCACCGCCTTCACTCACTTCTTCCTTATCCTTAACCTCTTTGTTTTCCTCTTCCTCCTCGCCATTATTACCCTCATCATCTTCCTCTTCATCCTCATCCTCGCTATAAGAAAACGTAACCTTTTTGTTAACTGGATTCTCAAGCACCCCGGAAGAATTCATTTTCAAGCCAGTCCCATGCACTAACTCCTCAAAAAACTGTAACATGAAGAGATTCACATCTAAGAAACACTCCAAAGATTCAAAAAAGCTACTCAAAGCTCTTGAGAAACGTGGAAAAAGAAATCAACTTTATGTACGAAACAGTGAAACTAAGCAAGGGTATGGACAAGTAACTGGTCGGAGATTAAATCCACTTTTTTTTTGTGCAGCAAATTCAATCCACTTTAAAGGAAGAAAGAAAGAGAGAAACTTTACGGAATCAATGACGTTAATAGCTTCCTGAGAAGCTTGGTATTCACGTCCGCCATCACAGGAGATGAAAAAACCTTGTACTCCAGGCTTTAAAGGGTAAGCTCCCTTCTTCTTCGCTGGTCTCTGCAACAACAACAACAATCAAGTACAATTAGCTGCAGATTCGTAACAAAAGTAGTGTGGAACATAAGAAAGAGAGAGATACGGAAGGAGTACGTTCTGAGGGAGGTAACGCTGCTTTCTCTTCTTGCTTTGGTCACCGGAAGCCATTGTCGGAGACGGAGAGAGAGAAAGGTCTTTTCTGAGTTTCAGTCCAAACATCAAGTGACGAGGAAACATTACTTAGGTCATGCCTGGGTGGGCCTCTTGGGCTTTAAATTTTGGCCCATAAATAAATTACTTTTCTTCCCAGGACCATCAGTTAAAACATTTTTCTTCTTCAATACAAATAAATTTAGATTTTTTTAATTAAAAAAATTAAAAAGACATTTGTATATGGATTTTGCTTGTTGGTTATATATGATTCCTTTCAAGAAAATTGTCTTTTCGTTACATTACAAAAAATAAACTCAACAGATATCACCAAATGCAAAGTAATTTTTTTTTTTTCAAAAATCAAATGAATTGAAAGAATCTACAATCAAAAGTGTTTAAACAACAGGAACTGCAAACTGGGAGAGACCACTATGTCTTTCTCACGACACACCATTTTGAACAAAGCCAAATAAAAATGAAAGAAGCAATAATGTTATATGCAACTCTCCTTCAATCACACCCAATCTACGTTCCCCGGGACCTGTACAACGTTTGCTTCAACGTATTGGACAATGGAGAAGTCTCTACCTCACGAAACAAAACGATTACACAAATAGTCTTCCTTTTTTTCTCTACTACCTCTGAGTAAACTCTTTGCATCTCAAGTCTTTCCATGTTTATCGTGTGATGTGTATTATATTCTCCATGAATCTGAGCATCTGCTAATATTTTATCCACACCGTATCAGCCTGAGTATTTGCATAGGAGGCCACAAAATCTTTTGCTGGTGAGGAATTTGGTCAAAGAGATAATATCTTGGGAGATGCTCTACAGTTAGAACGGGTATCTGTTTGATCGGTTTTGTTCAAACCACCTAGCTGATGGGTCCCTACGTGAACTTTCTCTCCAGTTTCTCCTACTGTTACTGAAAGGATAATTAGCATCTGGCTCTGCTCCAGATGTGCTGGCTCCATCACGTCTCCTTTGTGAATTTTGCATCTCTTCTTCAAGATCATACTGAGAACGCTGCAAGAAGTAGCACAAGAACATAATTTTTAGATATAATTTAGGAAACTCAAATCAAAGAAATTTTAATTCGCAAAAGAGAAACTGAGAACAGAGCTGACAATGTGTTATGGATTGAGATGTTTTTACCTTTGCAGGGTCTGAAAGAACAGCATACGCTTCCCCAATCATTTTAAATAATTTATCAGTATCTTTGCGTACTTCTTCTCCTATCTCCTTCCATAACGTCTCATCTTTACTCTCGTTTCTTGTCAAAGACTGACCAGCCTTCAACAAGTTTAAAAACTAAGTAAGCACTTATAAATAGTCTGCGGCTGTTTGCTTTCCGCAATAGAGCTGAATCCACAAGCTTGAGAAAGTAAACAGTTTCAGCATATGAAATACCTTGTCGGGATGATGTTTGAGTGCGGCCTTCCTATATGCCTTTCTGATATCTGAAGCAGAGCATGATGGCACTACACCCCTGCCAAGAAGTAGGTGCCAATAAATAAGCAAAGCGTTGACACTACTTATCTCAGCACCACAAGGTTCTTCCTAATTTAGGAAGAACCTTTAACGTATAGAATCCGAGAATCCTAAAAGAAAAGGAAGTACAGATTCGCGGATTCTAGACGTTAAATGTTTCAACTTATATACGAACTAGAGCACGTAACGCAGACACGTTGGCGGAATAAAATGATATAAGCAGAGGATAGTTTACTTACAAGACGAGGTACATATCCAAAGAAGTTTCTTTCCTTGATTTCTCTTCCAGTTCAGAAAGTCGCATCCGAGCTTGTCTAATGTCATTGGCCAAATTAGTGACTCTGTCGTGAATCCCAGAGGTCTTCTCTTCCATTTGCTTGGTTAGAATATTAACATATCTATGCATGTCACTGGCAGCTTGTCCATAATCCCTCAGCATCTCGAACAACGTGGCCCTTCTAGAAATAGCCTGAAAAAAATATGAACAGATAAACAGATTAAGTGACATAATAGAGTGTACTTTTTCAGACAATAGGATTAATTAATAAGAGACTCGCTGCCATATCTTTCTGTATACAAGTGTTCTACTATGACACTGGGACCTTCTAACTACATGTTGTGGGCAGTAGAAACGTAACAGAACAAACTAAATAAGGAAATTTGCAAAGGAAGAAACCTTTGAGTAATTTTGGTCAAGAGCAATGGCAAGACTGCAGTCTGCAATAGCGTCAGAGAGTTGACCAAGAGCCTTATATGCCGCAGAACGATTACAGAAGCACACAGCTGTAAAAGAACGTGATTCCACGTTGCAAGACAAGGCTGCTGTGTAATGTTCAACTGCTTCAGTGTGTCGTCCCGACTTAAATGCTTCATTCCCTGCCGACTGCGATTTGGTAGGAATATCAAAACGTTACAAAAAGTGATAAAAATGCAGAACTAATGTGATGCCTTTATATATACAATTAGTTCACATATCAAAGTGTTAAGTTGGATTCTGAAAAGGAGGGGCATGCTCAGAGCTATAACTGTCGCAGAGGCAGAAAATACCTTAAGGCGCAACAGCTCACGTATGGTAGCGGCCAACGGGATGAAGGATTCGAGAGGCTTGTTTCCATCTCTGTATCGCAAAGACGCGACCTATCAGATTTCATCTCATCTAACAAAAATAAATGTAAAAGAAGTGCATCTGACTCACCTTTTTATAGCAGATAGTAATTGTTCTTGCTTCTCTAGAGAATTAATCGCCTCCTCAAGCTTTCCCATATGGAAATATGATTTAAGCATGAGACGACACCGCCAGATTCCAAAGTTTATATCCTTAGAAGTGTCATGAGAATCTGTAGCATCTACGGGAGGAGAATTCTTTCCAGCTAAATCAATTGTCTGCTCACAAAGCTTTATTGATGCTTCATACTTCTCAAGCTGAAACAAAAATATAACGAAAGCAGGTTCCTTAATCTTTTCCTGTATGAACTTCATAGTTTCCTACTCAGAGTTCTCTGACGGTTTAGAAAGAATACTTTCAAATGTTTTTCTGAAGATGAGGAAACATACCATCAAAAGCGCCTCTCCCTTCATGGTGAGTAAGTTTTCAGAGTATGGACTTATCAGCAGAGATTCTTCCAATATTTCCAAAGCTTTCTCAGCATCAGTTGATGTCCTGAGCTGCAAACGACAGCCAGCTTCATGCATGCATTCCGAAACTCTCTGGAAAACAGAGACAATATCGACTGGTCAGAAAGAAGAATGTGTAAATGCCAGTCTTCTGTTTGAGAATATGTAGAAATTATATAACTGGATATAATACTAAAGAAAGAGATTATGGACAAATATCAAATTCTATACAGCCATTATAAGGATGATCAATATCCATCATGAAACAAGAAACAACTAAACACCATAGAAAACGTAATTCTCTAGCCACACATCTCAATGAAAAACATCAGCCACACAATTAGTATGGTTCAGTCCAGATCCTAGATCAACTAATACAAATTATAAGATCCAATTTACAGAATAAGGCCTTTTGAAAAATAATGTCAACAAGTGTCCTGCTATGCTATTTCATAAACAAGAAAAGTTTACAAATAACATTGGGTTCCTTCAAAAGAAGAGAGAACTCTACCTGTGCCTTTTGTAGACCTTCAGAAGCCTCGACAATGATTTTGCGGTCCACACAGATGTCACTTCCAGATTGCAAGCATTTTTTAAAGTACCTGGATGCGTCTTCAATCTCCCCAAGTGAAAGATAACAACTACGAATAAAAATCCCAATCAGCCAATAAGACATCATAAAATTGTATAATATTATTCTAATTGCTATCTGAGGACGAGCATTGACTAGCAAGGTAGCCCAGGCAGCTAAAGCAAAGCTTATAAGAGAAAAAATCACATCATTCATTCCCAGATCAAGCTCTCGTATCAAAAACTAAAAGTTGCTAATAATGTTTATCTTGGCTCGTTATGAAATATAAGAAGGTTTAAGGAAGGTCGATTCTTACTTTCCAGCTCTGACTTGAACTTTAAGGAAGTTGGAGTCTATTGAAGAAGCCATCGTACAATCTGCTATTGCTTCCCTCATTCTTCCAAGGGCCATGAGTGTTGCTGCACGGTTGCTGTAGCAAAGCATCAGTGCCCTGAGACAGTTTCTAGACGTCTCCATTTTAGGCACGGAATCTATCCCTTGAGTGTAAGATTCCTCAGCTCTGGAAAGATCCCCATTTTTGTAAGCATTGTTACCTCTGAAGAAAAGGCATTCAAGAAAAAGTAGTTAGAAGCCAAGGAAGCAACGATACAACTAGACATCAGAACACTACAGGAACAATGAGTAGAAGAATAAAATGGCCACTGAGATTGCTGACTTGTAAACAACCTTAATCGCCACTTTTCACATGCTTCTTGCGCTGCATTAGACGCATCTTTTTCGTCTCGTGCTTTGTCCCTTACAGAATTATTAATAGGCTTTTGTACACGAGTAAACGGATCCCTTTCACTAGGTCTCCCCATGGAAAGGGGTGACTGAACACCAGTTAATGGCGAATGTTGTGAAGATTTAAATGATGAAGCATTTGGAATCAAGATATATGGATCCTGCCCAAGTGGAACTGGATTTTTCTTCCTGCTAATACGCTTAGAGGTTGATGGTTGGACGCCCACTCCGGAAAACGATGGAGCAGAAAAGGTAAAGCTAGAGCTAGCAGCATTTGAATTAAATAGGGACTGGTTATCATTCTCTTGCCTATGAGGCCTATAGCTTGAAGTAACCTCACTTTCCGAAGCTGAGGCGAAAGTATCACTACTAGTTTCCATCTCTTCCGCTGCTGTCTTAAAACTCTCCGTTTCAGCCCCAGATACAGAATCTTCAGCAAGGTCCTCATGCTCACCACTTTCGCTGGTATTAAGTCCCTCAGCTTGATAGTTATTAGCTTCCTCCTCGTTTATATCCATACGTTCGGTTGCAGCAAGTAGCTCTGCATCAAACACATCATTCAAAGCCACACCAGGATTCGCAAACTGATCTGATCCAGAAGAAAAGCCTCTAGACTCTGCAGTCTCCTCATACGGAGAAACATCCATCGGTGAATAAGAATCAGAAACCTCACTGGTCCCCTTCGGAAACACACTTTCCCCAAAAGCAAACTCATGTCCAATATTAAGCTGCACTTTCACAGGCTGCTTACTCCCTTTCCTTCTCCCCCTTGCACCACCAACATTCTCCTTCTTCGCATTAAACCCCACCTTCTGTTCCAAGCTAGAAAAAGGATTCGGCTTCAAATTAGGTGTCTTGAACTCCATAAAACTCTTCCCTCCACTCGAAAAGTTGAACTCGGAAGTATTATTAACAGCAGAGGTCGCAGGATTTAGATGTTCACTCGACTCTGTACCTACAAAACTAAAATTCATCGGACATGAACTGCTAAAGGTATGAACTTTCTCCCCCTGACGTGATTCCTCTTCTGAGAGGTTCTGAGCTGACGCTGCATGATGCCCTACGTTAAGCTTTCTAGACAAATCATCAGAGAGTATCTTCTCCCCAACGTAATCTAAAGACTCTTTAACTTTCACATTACTATTCATCACATTCTCAGAGATATTCAACTTCTCCAAACTATCATTAATCACAAAGGTATTAACTTTGGTCTGATCAAGATTAAGTTTACTCTTCAAAAGAGATTGAAGTTGTTCATCATCATCGTCCACGTGTCGACTCCTCGCATTGTCACCAGAACCAATCTTCAAATTCCCCAAATCCTCCAGAACTTGCTCAGAGCTCGACCCTCCTCCAAAGACGAAACCTTTATTGATGGGTCGGGTCTGATCGGAAGATCCGCGGTGGAGAAAGGGGTTGAAGGAAGGCAAGGAGGAATCGGAGGAGGGTTTGATGATAGGCTTGACTTGTCTTCTGACCTTTGAGAATCTCGGCTTTGAGAGACCCGAGGAGGAGGAATGACGCGGGTCTGGGTTGTTGGCGGTTCGACCCGATGCTGAGAAGACTGGATTCAAGTCCCCAAAGTTGCTCATTCTTTCGATTATCAATTTAGAATAATAAAAAAAAAAGGAAAAATCGTCAGGGCGGGGGCATGGGAGATGAGAGAGTCGTCTAATCGGAGAAGAGAAGGAAAAGGGAATAATATTGAATTTCTTCAGGATCCATCCGATGAAGGAAGAGGAAGACGATGAAGTAACTTTCAAAAATTAATTATTTTTTTGATTGAAGAAGAAAAAAGAAATTTAATTATTTTTTTAAATGATTGATTTGATGTCGCCGTCCTCGCTTTGTTATAAGTCTCATCACCTTCCAAAGAGTTCTTTGAAAAGACCTAAACCGTATTTGATTAACCAAACCAACCATACTACATGGTTTTCAAATCTAACCACACATTTTATTTGTCTAAATTCAACCAACATCTCCATTGTATCTCTCAGCTTTACACACGAGACTTCTGTTTCCTTGATATTGGGTCTTGTCAATGTTGTAGTTGCAAACTTGTAGTAATGTATGTGTAATATTCCGAATTATGATAGATGAAAAAAATTTAAAATGATTTGGTTATATTACCAAAGTTAATTTGTTTTTCGTCACACATCCATTTACATCTTTAGTGTTAGGTATGTTTTGACTGTAGTAGTGAAAGTATGGGTGATCTATCGCAAATGCATTCATTAAAATACGGGAAAAGGTCATACAGTGATTGTATGACTAACAAACAAAACTTTCAAACCTAAAAAAAGCTGGTGTGGGTGACACATTACCTAGATAGACAGGGTGTTATAGTATGGTTCTTGTGTATGTAGTAGGGTAGGTTAGCGGGTTGGATTTGAGATTTTAGGATATCAATGTTTTTCTATAAATCTTCTACATAAAAAAAAATTAAAAAATTTGAAAACCAATGCCAATGTTTTACTCGGCTATGTGTAAATTCGACCCTGTGCCGTGCAAGACTCCACCCAAAAGTCATCGTTGTAAAGTGTGTAAATATTATGTCTACTATGAACCCATATTGCATTAACTGTTTACGGTCGTCCGCATGACAATTACATACGTGATACGTTATTTTTGCAGAACTTGTTATAATATCTAATCTAGTTACTGACTGAACTGTGAAGAACCCAAAAGAGCTTTGAACACTTTTTTAACTCCTACTCCAATACCACTTAGAATGGAAGATACTGTTTTTCTAACGCTAACTAAATAAGGAACGGCTTAATGATATATATATAAAGTTTGCAGAACATTCTATTCTTCTTTGATACAATCAGAGACTCATGTGGTGCATCAAAGAAACCGGAACAACCACATGAGAAACCAAACCAAAGTTGAAATTAAAGCACAATCAAAATAAAGATATTTGTCCCCTTTTTTTTTTTAAAGTATGTCTTACGCAACCGCTTGTTAGTAGTATAGTATCATCCTGATTGCGATCTTCATGCCATATTCCTACCTTCTTTCTGTTTCTCCATTTATATATATTATATATATAACTTACATATACATCTCATCCTACTTCCTTGTGTATGCTCTTTTTACTGTCTGCAGCAAAGATAATCAAAACATTAAACACTATGTATGAAACTCAATCCCAGGCTTCTCCATCATTCTATGGATCAAATAATGCTTACCTTTATTACACACACTTCTGGTAGCCCTCATCTTATCCATAAGAAGAAAAAGACCTGAGTCCAAAAATTAAAAGAGGTTTGTTATCTATAATATAAACTTTAACATTGGAGGAAGAGTACACTAACCCTTGGCATTTTATGAGGTTACTGGGTAGAGGCTGGTGGCTCATGGTCATTTCCATTAGTGGAGGAGACGGAGACTCCAGCTTTTGCATTAGGTTCAGCAGAATCATCATCAGTAGCTGTTGCAGTGGGGAAGAGGTTACTAGGAAGAACAAGCTCTATTGGGCTTCCAGTGTCAGTTTCACTCTCGTTGGTCCTTTCTTTTGCACCGTTTGAGTAATTATTATTGCTGTTAGTACTCCTTGAGTTGTTTACCGGGTAAGGAGGCAGCTCGGTGGTATCATCAACTAGTGCTACAACCACAAATGTAACAGCAATAACGAGATTTCAAATTATAGTTCATTCACATTCAAAAGTAACAGTGTTCACTTCACCAAACCTTTGAAAGAATCTGCACTGGTGAGTTCAGATTGAGTATCAGGGCTTTGGATGTTGGCAGATGAAAAGTAACCAGGAGACCCCACAGAGAAGCTACGGTGATGATTAGACACTCCTCCACTATTCTTGAACTCAGGAAGCTGCAAATTAATGACGCGTCTTCTTTCATGCTCAATAGCCCTCTGCAGGTCAGCTGCTTCCTCCATCTTCCTTCTCATCATCTCCCGCCTCTCATAGAACATCTTCGAACCTACAAAACAGAAACAAAAACAAGTTAGTTAACCAAGTTAAGTAACAACTAAGAAAACAGAAACAAGTATGGTACTAACCAAGTTGGGGATCAGACTGTTCTCTAGGATCAATCCCTGATGGACTGGAACATGGGGAGTAATTCGCACGCTCAATTTGCTGCTGTAGCAGATACTGATGTTTCCTGCTATCACTTCAATTTACAAATGACACATTGAAACACACACAAAAAGAAAAGACTAGAAGGAAATTTCAAGGGAATTAAAAAGAAAAGAAGAACCATACTTGTCAAAGGCTTTGCCTTTTTCTTTGTACGGTTTGACAAGAACACGCGAGTCACAAATGAAATGAGGATTCCCTCTGGCTAGTACAACCTTCACAGTCTCAGGCTGGGCAAATGAAACAAACCCAAACATACGCTTCTGTTGGTATGGGATCCTCACATCTTGCACTGTTCCAAAAAGGCTTCACAGACAAAAACAAATCAATAATGTTTGAAACATGATCTTTATCCAACACTTGTTTAACAGAGATGGTTGTCAAGACATACCTGAAGTAAGTCGCAACGTCTTCATCCTTAAACGTGCTCTCAGCTGGGAATGTCAAGTAAATCTGTCTAGCTGCCGAGTTTGAGAGATCACCAAACTGCATTGCCATTAGTTCCATCCTCTCAAGCCTCCCTGGGCTACTGCTCCAGTATCTTTCATCACCAAAAGGCAACGCACCATCTCTGCATCAAGAAGAAAGCACAAAGCTTAAAACTTGAAAAACAAAATAACCAAGAAACAATGCTGCCTCCACACAAATAAAGCTGAACAATTACTGAACTAAAAACAAAAGAAGATACTTCAAGCGAGCAATATCTATGAACTAATTGGGAATGGGATAGTTCTAAGTTACCTAAGAGCCTGCTGATGCAAGAGAAAATCCATTCTCTTCTCGTAAGACATCTGAGGAACTCTACCAAGTAGTTGAGAAGCCAGCCTCTGCTGCTGATAAGCCATTTTCAACCTCATCATCTCCTCATGCTGCCTACCAAAGCTCTCCACTTTCCTAGACGAATCAGCCACAATGCCATTACCATCAACATTATCCCCAAACCCTCCATGGACAAACTTGCAGCTTTCTCCATTCTTACACAACCCTCTACCAAAGTAAACACAAGGCTTGAATCCAGCACCAAACCCATCTTCTCCAGACCCAAAAGACGCATCTGCCGAGAAACTCCTCCTGTGCAGATGGGTTTCTCCATTGTACTCCAAGGGAGCCGTGGGATCTACAGCCTCCTCTGTTTTCGAATCGTCAAGAAACGAAAGGTAATCATTTAGCTGCTGATCTTCAAGTAAATCAGATTCAACATCTCCGTTGCTTTGAAAGGGCTTCAAGATGCTCCCATTAGTGAGGCTTACACTGTTGGTTGACCATGGAGAGGTCGAAGAAGGAGAAGAAGACGGAGAGTTTCTTCTTAAATCCATAAACCCATTAGAGACTCCTCTTCCGTTAATGGGTGGTCGAGAGATAGGGTTAAAAGGAGAAGTCGGAGTAGAAGGAGAGGAGAAAAGACCTAACTGACTCTTCACTTTCAAGATAATGGACTGAAGAACAGAGTCAGGTCCAAGAGCGAAACGCAACAAGTCTTTCTCAGTAAAGTCTTGTAATAAAAGATACCCTATGATCTTCGGAGCGTAATCTGGCTCCAAGATCCTTATTTTCGTTAAAAGCAGAGACGTTGGGTCGCCGGAATCCATGTCTTCCTTCCAAAGTAATCACCTTTAGGGTTTTCGAAAACAGAGGAGGAAGAAAACAGAGGAAGAGAGGAAAGATCAGAGCTTTTTATTGAAGCAGAGATGAAGAAAAAATCTTTAAGTAGATAAGAAGAAGGAGATCCTCCTTCCTCTTTACTCGGTTCTTGTTTTGATTTTTTTGATTTTTTTTTTTTTTTTTTAATTTTGAATCTCACTCTTCAGTCACTCCTATCTTTATCGCTCCAGTTGGTGCTCTCTCCTTACTGGTAAGACCACTTGGGGAAATGTTCTTCTTTTAATTTTATTACAACTTTCTAGGAAACTGTATTTTTTAAAAATTACGGAAAATTGTTTGATGCTCTTTCTTATTTTATAGATTATACACACTGTGTTTACGGATTTTTTTTCTTATACGAAGATCTCTGTGTATATATATACAGAGAATTCTAATTCGTTAAACTCAATTAAGAAAGTAAGATTTCAGAAGATTTTTCGGTACTTTGTATTCAATATATTTTCATAAATTTTTAATCTTTAGCGCTTTATAAGGAAAATTATGTTAACTTTTCTAAACGATGGGAATATAATATTTTTTAGGAAAAAAGGGAAAGAATTAAGAAAAGAAAATATTTTTAGAATATGTAAAAAAAATCTACAGGTACTGTTAAATCAGTGTCAGAGATGGGCGCGTGTGGATACCAGCTTTAATTAGACAGGCTTTTTTTTCCTTTCTACCGGCTGTGTGTGCTACGCGCGCGTGAGGTCAATCTCCCTTTTAAGGAATCACGAGCAGCGATTTTTTTTTTTTTTTTGAAGTAACGTTTTTTTTTGTATGTTGGTATATGCATTATTGGTTTTTGATCATAAGTCTTTTTGGTGATGTGAAATAATTAGACGGTCGTGATTAACGGAACAAGAAAATAATGTTTGGGTGCGTTTTGTCTCAACGATTGTTCCCATGTGTTGCGGTGTGTGTCTTTTCTGAGTCAACTCGGTCCTGTTATAGGTTGGTTTATATAGGTTCTTCCCGCGGGGACCTTTTAAATTGGTTTGGCAATAACAGTGACAATACAATTGTGTCGGAGAATTTTCAACCTCGTTACTGCACTATGATAACACATAATAGAGTTTATTAATCTCTTTGCTTTAATGTTTAAGCTGATAAATCTGATTAGTTCAACTGATTTTATTCAATGAAAATCGCAAGTCAGTTAGATTTGTTTAACTATATTGATCACAGATCAAAGACTTACATACTCAAAATGTTATACTGTAATGACAAGAAACGCAATTGCTTCTAGTAGGAGGGATTAGTACCCGACACAGTTAACTGTCTTTTTAGAATGGCATTAGAATCATTATCTTATCACATCGAACCACAAAATAAAAAGTAGATAAATTATTATAAGTAAATATATAAATAAGGAAGTTAGACATACGCACTCACATGGATCCAGGAAGGACATATGCACTAGTAGCATACGACTTCATGGATTAACCAACCACTCACCAATAAAATAATGAATCCACAAAATATGAGACAAAAGAGTCCTTCAAAAGTTTAACCTTTATGCACATGACCTTCAACCAGCTTTTTTTTTTTTTTAACTTTCTTTTATATATTTACCATTTCTTGACAAGGATAATTTTACAAACAAGAATATTCTGTGACTTTTGTCTGTTCTCGCAATGAAGTAACCAAGTAAGAAATGATCCTTCAACCACACAGTTTTCTTACGCTTTAGATTCCATGATGATTCAAACCTCTAAGAGATATGTTTCCAAAATACTACAACAAACGTCACTTTGTAATTTGCCCAAAAATCAACATAATTATCCCACTTTGCGTTAACTAATGGCCAAAATTAGATACATAATATTGAAGGGAAACCAAAATCATACCTTAATTAGTCTCATGCGTGCTTAAAGAGCTTCATGGCAAGCCAATGAAAGTAGACAGAAACAAGTAATGTTGGTAGAGTCAGTGGAGCTAAGAAGCAGTAGTACCTGGGGATAGATGTTTTACAATAAAAACTGATATTAAAATCTAGAGATTATACAAACCATACATTAATAAACAAGAATGATACAAAAGACAAACACAATGATATATATTGAACAACAAGTGTGTGTGTGTGTGTGTGTGTACCTATCATTCTGAATAGCTTGGATGATGGGATTGTCAGAGAGCGGAAACAGTTTGGATAATAGAGCTGCAAACACAAACCCAACGAAGGAAATGGAACCAATGATCACTAAAAAGCATCCCCACAACTTCATTATTATTTTTTGTCTTAAGACCACCCTAAAACGTCAGCGTTTCATTCAAAGTTTGCTCGTATCCTTTCAAATGATAGATGAGAGGAATCTGAGGAAGACGATTAATCAAGTCTACATATAAAGTATAGTGTAAGATATTAATAATCATGATTTTCGATGAAAATCCCTAAAACTACGAGAGATGAACAAGATATGAAGGAACACCAACTTACATCGTCGAGTGATTGATTCCTCTGTTACAGAAAACCTACTTAACCAGAACATTTGAGGATTACCCGGAAAATCATTTATTAGATGACGTAACGCAAATCTCAAACCATGTTTGACGAGGCCCAATGGTTGACGAAAAAAAACAAGACGAGGCCCAATAAATTATATTTTTTTAATCTTGAATTTAGGTGTTTATACAACTTTCAAACAATGTTACTCCCATTAGTCATTCCATTTTTAAATTCTGTATGTTTTAAAATTTTCACCTTATTAGAAATATTTTAAATCTTGATTATAAATAAATTTTTAATATGCTTTTTATAGTTTTTAACTAATCAAAATTTAATAATACATTTTAAAATTTTCAGTTTACTATTATTATCTACTAAAATTATATATGTTTTAAAATACTCACGCTTATTAGAAAATATCTTAAATTTTATTTTAGATATATTTTTATAATATATTATTTTTTTAAAATTTAACGAAACAAAATTTAATCTAATATTTTCACTTTCAGTTTACTATTATTAACTACTGAAATTTATATTGAAAATCTAAAATATATATTTTGAAATAATTTTATTTTTAAAACATAGACTATTTTGAAATAGAAAAAATATATTATTTGGGAAAAAGACATCCAACACCCTCTCCACATTCATGTCATTAGTTCCATGTACGCCAACAACAAGTTACGCAAACCAATAAGAAAACAAACAAAATGCACAAACGAGAGAAGTAAATAAGAAAAACTAAATGCTGTAACATTTATTAAAACAGAGATCCACATACAATTTCACTTTTAATGGTTGACAAGATTGTTATAGTGTTTGACAAGTAAAGAAATTAAAATTAAAATTTTCCAAGTTAATCACGTCTCTAATTAACTTACTAGAATTTCTCTTATTTAGATCACAAGTTTTATTGTTCAAAAAAAAAAAAAGATCACCAGTTTTATTTTTTGTTTAGTCTCGATCTTACTATCTCTGTATCATACAATGTCGTCTCCAGGTTACAACACAAGCATCTTATGCAAATATCTTCTGATCATAGGATTGGTCTCAATCTTCTTCATCCTCTTCTTATTCAACTTAACCTACATCAGTTCACAATATGTCGATAGTAACATATTCACCATAAAATGTGAAGAGGGGCCTAAGGAGACAACCACGAACTTGAGCCACTTGATGTTTGTGTTGGTGGGTAGCTCACGTGCGTGGAAGCATCGAAGAACTTATATAGAATCATGGTGGAGACCTAACGTGACACGTGGTAATCTCTTCTTAGACGTGGAGCCGTCGAAAGAGTTCCGGCCTTGGTCTCCGACCTTCCCGCCGTATAAAGTCAACGAAGACCTCAGGAAACTCAGAATCTACCCAAAGTTAGCAAACCGAGTTCACATTCGTATCTATAGATCTATTCTCGAGACTTACAGGCTCAAACAAGACGATGGTGTGCGATGGTATGACAATTACATATCAGTTGATTAATATATATACACACCAGTTATATATCGTATTAAATCGAGATATATTTCTATTAAAAAAATTAGTAATTTGTTTTTAAACTTAGTATAGATAGATATACAAGTTAACATTAATATGTTATCACCCTAAAAGTATTATTAAATAATTTTGTTCTAGATTAGAATAATTTCAACTGAATTATGAGTCTCGCAGCAGTTGATATGACTGCATAACTCTCTTATTATCAAATTAAGATGAGTTAAAAAGAATTAAAGGTAAATGTTACAAAATATATTAAATTATTATATGAAAACAAATATTCTAATAATTTCAATCTTTTTTCCTTTTACAAATCAATCTTAACAGCTAAAAAAATTGTAACAAAAAACTCTCATGATTTCAGTGGATTTTCAACAAAAGATTTTCTTATGGACAAAAACTTGTGATTCCAAACACTTGTGATCTAACATCAATCTTGTTTAATTTGAGAATAACAAAAAAGAGAGTAAAATTCAATCTTTTCCAAAAATAAACAGGTATGTAATGGGTGATGATGATAGTCTTTTCTTCGTAGACAACATAGTGGATGTGTTGTCAAAATATGACCACACGGAAAAACATTACATCGGAATGTTTTCAGAGTCGACAAAATCAAATTTTCGCATTGCATTTGAAATGGCATACGGAGGTGGAGGATATGCTCTAAGCTATCCTCTAGTCGAGGCTTTGGTGGCAAAGCTAGATGAATGTATTGAAAAGTATCATTTCATTTGGGCAGGAGATCGATTACAGAGTTATTGCTTGGCTGATCTTGGTGCTGATCTCATCCCGGAGAAAGGGTTTCATCAGGTATGTCAACAAAATATCAATTTATCTTAGGTCAAGGACTCAAGATTCAGTGATCTAAATATTCAATGAAGTTAACAAACAGCTTATATAATTCTTAAATTCTTTTGTGTAAATACGGATGTATATCCCTAGTAAACGATATGCATAATGTCCATATTCATATTTTCTTTAACAGAAGATTTACAATATATTAGAGCATGATTACGGCGGTGGGAGGAGGTTCTTAAGCGTGGATCCCATCACTTTTTTGTAAAAACTGTGTTTTGATGTCGCCAAATAAGAAAGGTTACTCAAGGGTTTTTTGTATTGTTTGCGGGTTCCACTTACATGTACCGATCCGTGACTGATTCATTTTTAATTTTTTTTAAAATCAGAAAACAAAAAAAAAACTTTTAAGAACCCCCAAAAACTTTTTTACCGATAATGATCATCCTTTTGAAGACCATTGAACTTTGGGGTTATGGTTAGAAGGGACTCTCTTCCTCGGAGTTATTATGGAAATAATTATGCTTAAAATGTATCATAATATAAGTTTTAAATAAGTATAAAAATTCTTTATAGAACGTGACAATGTTAATTAGTATTGTTTGCACAAGAAAACGTATTTTATAATAAGTATGTGATTAATATGAAACAGATGGATCTACGAGGTGACTTGTCGGGTTTGCTCTCGTCACACCCGACGGCTCCTCTTCTCAGCCTCCACCACTTCGATACCGTCTCACCACTCTTCCCTGGCATGGACCGTCCAGGCTCAGTCCTTCACATCATGAAAGCGGCCAACGTGGACCAATCACGGATGCTACAACAGTCGATCTGCCACGTCAGAGCAAGTAACTGGACCTTCTCGGTCTCGTGGGGATACTCTGCTCATGTCTATGAGAATATATTCCCACGAAGCTACTTGAAGTTTCCCATCGAGACGTTCCGTCCCTGGCTCCGAGGATCGTTTCCTTTTTACATGTTTAACACGAGACGAGTGTCTCGAGATCCATGTCAAGCTCCTCACTGGTTCTTCTTCGATTCGATTAAACAAGAGAACGGAGGAGTTGTTACTTCTTACACAAGGAATTTTATTAGAAACATGACTTCTTGTTCCTTCTCTGGTAATATTTCTGCTGATCATCTTGCTTCCATCCGAGTATTCTCTCCCTTAACTCCCAAAGAGGTTTGTTGATCTCACCTGCCATTGTTTTATTGGTTTTTCTTGTGAGAAAGGGCTTTGTTCTATTGTTTGTTTACAGGGGGGAAAAGTGGAATGTTGTGACGTGGAATACGAAGGTGCATATGTTGCAGACGTAAGGCTTCGAGATTGTAGGAGAGACGAAATGATCAGCTAAGATAAACGGAGAGGACAAAAATTAGTTATATTGTAATTTTCAATCTTCATATTTAATTACGTTATACATTGCTTAAAACTCATGCCTACTATATTTACTCTGATATCTCAACAAGAAGAGTTTACTGATCAACATATTTTTTAGCAACTGATCAACAGCTAGGTTTGTTATTTTTTTATCCGAAATTTTCTTAACACTTAACCATGCAATTAATGAATATTGTACGTTATTGTGGGGTTTATTATAAACTATGTAAGGATAATCTTTCATTTTATAAAGGTACTAGGTGTTTGCCCGCACTTGCGGGCTTAATAATTTTACTAATTTCTATAAATAAATATATAATCAATTTATGTAAATTATAATAAATTATAGTTCATAGACTCAAAATATTTAATAATAAACTACACAAATTCTTTCTACATATAAAATTTTTCATCATCATACAAATAATTTTCATTACACAACTTATATTTGAAAATACTCATGAACTTAAAACATTTAGTAATAAATTAATATCATTTGTAGACATAACAAAAAAGTATAAAAATTATCTTTAATAATGTTTTGGATAACACAATATAAATTATCTATACATAAATTCTTTGCGAATTGATTTTTCATAGTTAACTATATATTAACAAATAGAATTAGTTTTCAACGTTAATAAAGACTTTATAACACAATATAAAAAGGTTAGGTAAAGATAATTATCAAATTCATGAGATTCATTTTTTAATTTAGAATTAATTATATGTTAACAAATATAATTATTTTTCAAAATAAAGACTTTATCCCATAATACAAAAAATGTTAAAATAAGGATAATTATCAAATAAATGAAATTCGTTTTTAATTTATAATTAATTATATATTAACTAATATAATTATTTTTCAAGGTTAATAAAGACTTTATAACCCAATATAAAATAGTTTTAGATAAAGATAAATCTAAAATCATTGAAATTATTTTTTATTTATGTTTAATTATATTAAAAATTTTAATTATTCATTAAGGATATAAACGATATTAACCGCTCTAACTTTCAATGTGAAGTTACAAATTAATCAGCAAATTCACTTAAATTTTATAATAAAAAATATATTTTAAGATAACAATCTAATACAAAATAATTAACATATTTTCTAAAAATATAATATTATTAACATAAATTCTTTTTTATTTTATAATAAATTATTATAACATGAAAATAAACAAAATAACCTAAAATCATGGAGAAGTTGACAACTAAGCAAATTTACTTCTCAAATAATGTTATAGATAATTTTAATATGATATATAACAAATAGAAAAATTTCTATTTTTCTGTTGTGATAAAATTTTATTTAAAATTAAATTATTAATTACGAAATTAACCAATGCACTAATTTGAAACAATATTTTAAAATTTTAGTAAGATTATGTTATTTTCGACAGATTTTGTTATCTCTTTATAAAAAAATATTAAATTGATTTATTATTAAGGTTTTTTAGAAATAATATATATCTAATCAATTATGTAAATAATCAAACATATATAATTGATGAAATGGACCTAATAAGATTTTTTAATAGTAGATATAAATTGTACGTAATTTTTAATAGAGAGGATATTATTGTTTGGACTTACTGATCATAAAAGTTTATGAATTTTATTACATAAATTGTTTCTTTTAAAGTATCTAGTTTCAGTGTTTCTTACAAATTTTAAATTATCGATGAAATTCTATATGCGTCCAGATGTAAAAGTGATTAAAGAGTAAAAAATGTATTAATCCCATTTTATTATTTATTTTATAATGAAATATACTCTATAAATGTAGTAATCTTTATTCATTACTTCATTATGTAGTTAGAAATAGAATAAACTTTGAGCATTTTTACTCCATAATCCATTTTACTTTATTTTAAAGGAAAAATAGTGTTTCACATTGGAGATGTTTTGGTATGTGAGGCCTTTGTCCACCATGATTTTTTATGCTAATGTAATTTTGTACCAAATTTTTAAAATGCCTAGTTGAAATTTTAAATTTGTAAATATATTAGTAAGTTTTAAAATTTCTTCTTTGGATAAATGTTGTTTCTAGACCTGCCATTGTATTCAGAGGTACGAGTACGTCACGTTATACAGCTATGGTTTGCTTAAACATAATGAGTTCTCAAAAGAAAAGGTTTAAAAAAAAAGAATCTTTCATACTTTGAACAATTAAACACTTTCTCTCTATTTGCTAAATTTCCAACTATCAAATCATCTGTTGTAAAACGTGTTTGAGTTGAATTAATTTTACATTAGTTGAGAAAACTGTATATATAATTTATGGTGGGACTGTAGTACCCCCGGACCATAATTCATATACGAATTTGTCGTTTTCTTAAGCAACTGATTATCAGGTTACTTCATGAATAGTATATATATTACTAGATAATAGTCCATGCCATGCAAGGTGCAAGATTTTTTTAAAAATATTTTTAAAACTATTTTTAAAATAATAAAACATATATAAAATATATTTGAATGGTTTGATCAAATTGAATTTGTAAAAAAAAATAAGTTTTCTTAATAAATCAATAAATTTTGAAATAAAATTATTTATATATTTTAATATGATATATAGTTAAATTTAAATGACATTAGTATATATTAATTAATATATATATATATTAAATGAAATTTCATAATGATGTGCTTTTATGATTACTTGGATCTTATTATAACAAAAAGGATCCCATAAAAACTTCTTTCGAGGAATGGGCTAAACCCGGTCATTTCTCAAGAACAATAGCTAGACAAAAGATCTTCTTTTAAAAGAGATTAGATTCGGACCAAACAAAGTCATAAGCACGTAGGTTCAAAGCTAAATTTAAATCATTGACCAGAAAAAAAAATTCAGTGTAAAACTTTTAAAATATATATTCGTTTTCAAGTTTTAAAATATAGTATATACAGAAAATATAAATTTTAATTATTTAATAATTCAATTTATTTTCATGATATAAATTAAACAGAAAAGGAAGAAGATGTAAAAATTGTTATTAAATTTTTATTATTAAAAATTATTAATTTTCATATATATGTTAGTCGTATTAGATAATTTTGTAACTTTTATTCAAAGAAATAAATAAGAATATTTTTTATAGATTATTAATTAATTTTATAGTTAATTTAATAAAATATATATATTTAGATGATCTAACTTATTTCTCTAAAAATTCAAGTATCATTCTAATGATAACATATGTGGATATTCAAATGTTCTAATGATTCCTTTTTTAATATATAAGAGATATCAAGTTCGTCTAATACCTCTTTTACAATCAAGATTGTTTTAACTGACTGACAAATAAAGAAGACCAATTAGTTACGTTTTTAAATTTTATACATCGTTACATTGACTCGTGACCGAAACCTACTAGTCTAGAACATATGGCTAAAAACCAGTAAACAGAAGTATCATGCTAAAGTTACCCATCAAAATGTAATATTTTACATAAATTAAGGATTGTGACCTTAGTTGTGATATTCAATAATATGATAGATGTTTCAAGGGAAAAAATGTATGAAATATAGAAACTGGTATGGATTTGGACCAGTGCTTATTCAGTTTTAAAAAAGTATAAACATATCTCTGTGGTTTTCAAACTAAACACTCCAACATCTTGATGTTACTATCTCTGTATAATGTAATGACGCCACCTCCAAGTTACCACACAAACAGCTTGCGCAAATATCGCGTGGCCGCGATCTTCTTCGGCCTCCTCTTCTTCAACCTCGTCTTCTTTAACCAAACCTACATCATTTCACAATCTTTCGACAGTAACATTTTTACCATAAAATATCTTCACCCTAGAGAACCGGCCACAAACTTGAGCCATTTGATGTTCGTTCTAGTCGGGGGATCACGTACGTGGAAGGATCGAAGAGTTTACGTAGAATCATGGTGGAGACCAAATGTAACACGTGGTAATATATTCTTTGACGTGGAGCCGTCGAAAGAGTCCCAGCCTTGGTCTCGGACCCTGCCGCCGTTAAAAGTCAGCGAAGACATAAAGAAACTCAAAATTTACCCGAAGCTTGCAAACCGAGTTCACACTCGGATCTATCGATCAATTCTCGAGAATTATAGGCTTAAACAAGACCAGGATGTGAGATGGTATGATAATACACTAGATCATAAATCATCTTATCATAAAGATGTTTTTATTTTATAATAATTTAATTTAATAAGTACAAAATGATTTTGTTTTACGAGTAATATAAAAACAATTTTGAAATTACTGAATTATAAATCATACCAAATTAAAATATTTTTCCAAAAAAGTAATTGATTAATTTGTAACTTTTTTACATCTCAAGTGTATCTTCTCACTATAATTTGCCAAAAAAAAAATTATGTGATTTTTTTTGGATGACTTTTGTCAAAAATTTTATCGTCTCCAATATTCTTTTTTTTGGTTTTTAAGGAATAAAAATATACGCTTGTGTATGTTATTACCTAATTTGTGATCTTTTACAAATCTTGTCCTACAAAATAGGTATGTGACGGGTGATGATGATAGTGTTTTCTTCGTAGACAACATGGTGGACGTGTTGTCAAAATACGACCACACGGAAAAACATTACATCGGAATGTTCTCGGAGACGATAAGATCAAATTTTCAAATCTCGTTTGACATGGCATTCGGAGGAGGAGGATATGCTCTAAGTTATCCTCTAGTAGAGGCTTTAGTGTTAGAATTGGATGAATGTATTAAGAGGTACCATTACGTTTGGGGAGTGGATCATTTACAGAGTTTGTGTTTGGCTGATCTGGGCGTTGATCTTACCCTCGATAAAGGATTTCATCAGGTATTTATCTCATGGGTCATATTAATTATAGGGTTCAAAAAAAAAAAATTATGGGGTTCAAGTGTTCATGCTAGCTAACAAAACGCTTAACAAATTAATTTTAAGTAGAAGTTGAAGAAATGAAAAACATTCTAATGATAAGTTAACAAAAATGTACTATGTCTCGCCACTAGAGTAATTTGATTATTATAATTAGGAGTTTAGGACTATCAATCATCGTTTGCTTTCTCTACTTACAATACTGGAAAAACACATAGATGGTTCCTCAAATTAATTAAAGCCACCTTAATATGAGATTAAGATTTAGGATTTAGAAGGGATGTATTTTACTTTTCTGATCTATACAAAATTATGATAACGAACTAAGCTTTGAAACGTATCACACAAGAAAGTTTCCATAATAATCCAATAAAATTTGGATTAATGATATAAGAGAAGATTAACATGCGCAAGAAATTGCCTCACACATTAAATATTTGGTTAACATGGCAACAGCTGGATCTGCGCGGTGACTTATCAGGCTTCCTCTCGTCCCATCCAACGGCTCCTCTTCTCAGCTTCCACCATTTCGGATCCCTCGAACCAATTTTCCCTGGCATGGACCGTCCCGGCTCAGTACGTCACATCATGAAAGCGGCAAACGTGGACCAATCACGGATGTTACAACAGTCGATATGCCACGTGAGAGCCAATAACTGGACCATCTCGGTCTCGTGGGGATACTCTGTTCATGTCTATGAGAAGATATTCCCACGAAGCCACCTAAAGCTTCCTATCGAGACATTTCGTCCCTGGCTCCCAGGAAGACGGCCTCCGTTTTACATGTTTAACACGAGACGGGTGTCTCGAGACCCATGTGAAGCTCCTCACTGGTTCTTCTTCGATTCGATTGAGAAAGAGAAGGGAGGAGTTGTTACTTCCTACACAAGGAAGTTTCCTAGAAATATGGCTTCTTGTTCCTTCTCTGGTAATGTTTCTGCGGATCCACTCGCTTCGATCCGTGTCTTCTCTCCTCAAACTCCCAAACGGGTTAGTTTATTTTGCTGTTAGTTACAATATTTTTTTCACTATAAGCGGTAATAATCCCTTATATATTAATAGAGAAACATTTTAAAAATAATAACATCTAGTTTGTACTAATTAAAAAAATGCTCTACTGAATTGTCACGTAATTGAAATACTAATTTTGCTTACGTGACGGCTCGATAATCAATTAAGAATTTTGTTAGTCCAAAATTAAATTGTTAGGAAGTATTATATTATATAGTATGTCCATTATGGATCATTCATTTATCAAATTGAAATTTATTATATATTTTTTATTTAAATAAAACTTGCAGAATTATCTAATGTGACTAAGATATATATGAAAATTAATGATTGTAAATAATAAAGATATGCTAACACTTTGTATACTTTCTATCATTTTTGTTTAATAGTATAGATTATTAAAATTAATTACAAAATTACAATAATTATATAACAATTTTTTTTTGGGCAATTCTCTAAAATAGCCCTCTTTTAAATTTTTATCACAAAAATAGACCTCAAAAATTAAAATGACCAAAATAACATTTTTTATTTTGAAAATTTTAAGTTTTCTTATTTTTTTTAAATTCGAAACCCTATCCCCAAAACTCCACTCCTCAACTCTAAACAAAAAAATCTAGGATTAGTTAACTCAAGGGGTATAAATGTATATTAATAAACATTTAAGTGCTATTTTGGTCATTTTAATTGTTAAAGTCTATAATTGTGATAAAAACTTTTTTAGATCTATTATAGTCTTTTTTTTGTCTATGTTGTATTTTGAATTTTGCAAAACGAGTATAAATTACTAATACTGTTAAAAGTCTCACATAAACTTTTGTGATCAAAGTTTAAGTTTTTTCTATAATAAGATGTAATAATTATAAAATCATATGAATAATTCATTTTTATTTTAATAGGTGTTTATGTCGATATATATATATATATATTTCATATCGTTTAAATTAAACTCTACGTCATATGAAAATACATACTTATATTTTGATATTTGCATTGAACATATACTGAAAACTTAATATTTTAATTTCGAAATCTTCATTGTTTTTTTAAATGATTATAAATTATTGAAACCATCAAATATTTCACATTAAAAAAAAAATTGTTGGTGTAAAGTTTTGTTACGTAAATATGCTAGTAATCCTAAAATCATATGAGGAGAAACCCCATTTAATAAATATCCATATTAAAAGTATACTATATATATGTTAATATCATTTAAATTTAATTATATAACATATACGATAAATAAGATTGATTGTTTTGATTTATTTACCCTAAAAATGACAGCGAATATGGATTTATATGTGTACGCATATTTATTACATATAGTAATTGATTTCTTAGTTATTTAATATATAATTATCATTTTATTATTTCATAATATGCAGAAAAACATAAAATAAGTAGTAAATATAAACTATATATTCTGCACAAGGCGTAGAAATGAACCTAAGTATATATCTCTTTAATAATTTTAAATCTTAAACATTTCTAAATCTAAGGCTAAAACAAAAGAGCGAAATGCGAATAAACTTAAAAATCATTATTTATATCACGCAACAACCAAAATGCTAAAACGACACAAAAAATTGAATATAGTTAGGATTGACACGTGAACGTAAACTTCTCATAACTGTAATTAATCTTTAAATTGCTAAATCATGATATAAAACTGAGCTGAAATAATTTTAGTGTAACCAAATAGTAAGCATGAGATTCTTCGGTCTAAACGTTAGGTTCTTATGCAATAAATGAATTGTTGACCTAAAAATTTGAAAATGGAATCAGTTCATCAATAAAAAAATTATGTATTCAACAAAAAGAAGTTTTGAAAAAAAAATTAAGGGCCAAAAGTATTAATTCGATCAAAAGTATAAATTTCATTTTTCCATATTATATTTCTTAAATAACCTTCATATAAATTAACTCATACCTCATGAGTGAAAACATTTTTTTGCTCAGCCTTATGACAGAGTGACCTGAGGGATGTGAACACCCTGCCCTCATGCCGCTTTTTTCCAATGAACCTCCAAAAACCACTTTGAGCAAGGCGCAAGTCTTATACTAGTTTATCTATATATATATAAAGTAGATTTTTCTATTTTTTATAGCATGTGTTTATTGACATGTGTCCTATTTTTTCTATTTTTTTTTGCATTTTAATTTTTTTTTTCCTTGTAGAATATTACAACTTGGTTCATTGTTTTCTAGTTATGCATTATCTAAGACATAGTTAACGCCGGTTTCTTAATTAGTATTTTTAACTCATGATACACTGTTAAGAGATTGAGATTAATGATGGTCCAATCTTCACACACTAATCATTTGAAGTTTGGTAATCTATTTTTTTGCTCACAAAATTACAAAATGAATAAAGAAATAAATAATATAATATAAATATTTTTAAATATTTATTTTATTCACAGTTAAAATAACATAAAATTTCAATATTTTATTATTTTCTATAAAATAATGATCTTAACAAATAAAATGACCACATAATTAGTTAATAACATCATCCAAAAATTCATAATTAACAATAATAAAATAATATATAATTAGTTGATAACATCATCCCAAAAATCATAATTAACAATAATAAAATAATATTATAGGGGAGAAAAGTGGAATGTTGCAACGTGGAATATGAAGGTGTAAATGTTGCAAACGTAAGACTTCGAGAGTGTAGAAGAAATGAAATCATCGCCTGATGGAAGATGGAGAGCACAGATTAATATTTGGTTATATTGTAATTTTTAATTTTTATTTGATTCCATGTCGGTTTTCCGAAACTACGCTAGTTCTATCTTCAAATCATTTAATAAATTAATGTTCAGTAATATAAGTTAAAAACTGACTAAAAATCCAATTTAAAAAAGAGATGGATTTTAAACCTCCAACGTACTTTCGACTTTTTTGTTGAAAAAATCTTCCATAAATAAAATATTTCTAATTGTTAAACTAATTTTTTTTGTATAATGAAAATATACAAATTTTAAACTAATAGAGTTTAATATTTTTTTTGAAAATATTTTTTTTTTATTATAATAAAAAGTTACAACTTTTAAACTAATATATTTTTGTTTTTTATGAAAAGATACAACCTTTCTACATTAAATAGAATTCTTATTATTAATAAATATTATTTTTACAATGAAAAAATATAACTATTAAAACTGTTTGAGTTCAGTTTTTATGAAAAGAAATAATCTTGTTTGTAGTAAGGAAACACAACTCTAGAAACTAATAGAATTCAATTTTTTTTTGGTGAAAAGACATATTTTTAACAATGTAAAGACACTAACTTTTCAAACTAATATATTTAAGTTATTATCTATGAAAAGACACAATTGTAAGCATTAGTTAAGTTTTCTTTTATTAATTTATCTTTTCTAATGAGAATAGACAAATTTTAAAACTTATTTTAAGTATTTGTTCAACTAATTTATTTTTTATAATGAAAAGATACAATTTTTAAAACTAACAGCATAATTTTTCTTATAATGAAAAATACAACTTTTAAACTAATATATTTTAGTTTTAATGAAAAGATACAAAATTTCAACATTAAATGGAATTCTTATTATTAGTATATTATTTACAGTGAAAGATACAACTATTAAAATTAATAGAGTTCAGTTTTTATGAAAAGAATTATTATTTTTTTGTAATGAAGAAACATAACTCTTGAAACTAATAGAGTTCAGTTTTTTTATGAAAAGACATATTTTTTAACAATGTAAAACACAAACTTTTAAAACTAATACATTTCAGTTATTTTTTTATGAAAAGACACAATTCTAAATATTAATTCAGTTTTCTTTTATTAATTTATCTTTTATAATTAGAAAGACAACTTTTAATACTTATTTTAACTATTTGTTAAACTAATTTATTTTTTACAATGAAAGGGTACAACTTTTAAAACTAACAGAATTTTGTTTTTGAAAAGACACAACTTTTTATAATGAAAAGACACAAATTTAAATATAATATTTCTTTTTTTTAATGAAAAATACAACATTTCAACATTAAATTGGATTGTTATTATTAATAGATATATTTCCATATTTTGTTTTAAAAAAGAAATATATTTCCCTATATCTTGATATATTGAAATAAAAGAATGAACTCATAGATAAAACATGATCAAAATATATGGAAATATATATTAATAACTGTGGACTTGGACTAGTGTTTATTGGGTTAAGAAAAGTAAGAATATCTTCTTCTTTTTTTTTTGACTAAGAAAGTAAAAATATATTTTCTATGGTTTCCAAACTGAATACTCCAAAACCTCCCTTGTTACCCTTCAAATATCATTCATCATCTTTCTCCATCTAAAATGTCCAAGCTACTATCTCGGTATAATGTAATGTGCAAATATCACGTGATCATAGGCGTGGCCGTGATCTTCTTCGTGCTCGTCTTCTTCAGCCAGACAAAAATTAATTCACAATCTTTCGACAGTAACATTTTCACCATGAAATATAAAGAGAGGCTATTGCTGCCTAAAGAGACGGCCACAAACTTGAGCCATTTGATGTTCGTTCTGGTCGGGAGCTCACGTACGTGGAGGGATCGAAAAGTTTACTTAGAATCATGGTGGAGACCAAACGTGACACGTGGTAATATCTTCTTTGACGTGGAGCCGTCGGAAGAGTTCCAGCCTTGGTCTCCAGCCTTACCGCCGTTAAAAATCAACGAAGACCTCAAGAAACTGAAGATTTACCCGAAGCTTAAAAACCGAAACCACACTCGGATCTATAGGTCCATTCTTGAGAATTACAGGCTCAAACAAGATGAGAATGTGAGATGGTATGATATATACTAAGTTTATTAATCATCTTATCAAATCGATATATATATATATATATATATATATATATAATTTGTTTCTGCACTTACAAATTGATTTATAAATTTTTAGAATTAAATATCTATATTTACATAAATTATTACGTTTTATAAAATAATAAATATCACTTATAAAATAAAAGTTGTTTTATGATTTATAAAAAAAATTGAATGTTACTGAAATAATTTAAAAAATTTCCAGAAAGCGGTCAAGAAATTTTGAACTTTATTTTTTACACTTCAATTTATCAATTTTCTCTTCTCTTTATACCTTTTTTTTGTAAAAAATCTTGGTGCATGATTTTATTGGATGACTTTTGTCTCTAATATTTATTTTGAAGGAATACAAATACATGTTCGTGTATGATATTTTACCAAAATTTTAGTTCTAACATAAATATTGTCAAATATACATAGGTATGTGACGGGTGATGATGACAGTCTTTTCTTCGTAGACAACTTGGTGGATGTGTTGTCAAAATACGATCACACGGAAAAACATTACATCGGAATGTTTTCGGAGACCATAAAATCAAATTATCACTTCTCATTTGACATGGCATTCGGAGGAGGAGGTTATGCTCTAAGTTATCCTCTAGTGGAGGCTTTAGTAGAAGTATTGGATGATTGTATTGAGAAGTACCATTACATTTGGGCAGTGGATCATCTACAGAGTTTGTGTTTGGCTGATTTGGGCGTTGATCTTACCCTTCATAAAGGCTTTCACCAGGTATGCATGTCTTTACATATATATTTTAAATAGATATTATATATAATAATAGTTCATTCTTCAAAATATAAGGTGAGTTATTTCTCTGTTGTATTCATTCAGATCAATTACCTACCCGGCCATAACGAAATTACTAACCACGATTGGATGATTACTCAAATTAAAGCTACTGTAGTTTACATATATATTTTAAATAGATATTATATATAATAGTTCATGGAACTAAACAATAACTCAATAAGTACTTTTTTTTTGTTTTTTTTTTGTAACTCAATAAGTACTATTTTGTTTACATGCAATAGGTGGATCTATACGGTGACATATCAGGATTACTCTCGTCCCAACCAACGGCTCCTCTTGTCAGCCTCCACCACTTCGAGACTGTCACACCATTTTTCCCTGGCATGGACCGTCCAGTTTCAGTAAATCATATCATGAAAGCAGCCAACGTGGACCAATCACGGATGCTACAACAGTCGATATGCCACGTCAGAGCAAGTAACTGGACCTTTTCAGTCTCGTGGGGATACTCTGTTCATATCTATGAGAAGATATTCCCACGCAGCCACTTGAAGCTTCCCATTGAGACATTCCGTCCTTGGTGGCACGGAGAACTGCCTCCTCGTTACATGTTTAACACGAGACCAGTTTCTAGAAATCCATGTAAAGCTCCTCACTGGTTCTTCTTTGATTCAGTTGAACAAGAGAAGGATGGAGTTGTTACTTCTTACACAAGGAAGTTTATTAGAAACATGACTCCTTGTTCCTTCTCCGGTAATATCTCTGCCGACCCTATTGCTTCCATCAGAGTCTTCTCTCCCAAAACTTCAAAACCGGTTCGTTTTATTTTTTGCTGTTAGTTAACATATTTTTTTTTTTTACCATAAGCGGTTTTTAATGTTATAAGGATGTTTTCAATGTTCTGTTTATAGGGAAGAAAAGTAGAATGTTGCGACGCGGAATATGATGGTACTGCAAATGTTGCATACATGAGACTTCGAGATTGTAGGAGACACGAAATCATCGCCTAATGAAAAATGGAGTGCACAATCTTTTATCTGATCAAATTCTAAGTCGGTTTACAAATTTAGCAACTAAATTTTTTATTTTTTTTTAAAAGACAAAGATTTAAAAAGTAAAAAAAAAAAAGTAAACATTGTAATAGTATTGTATTCTATATAGGAAGATAATTTTTTTACAGAGGATTATTTATCCACCTTTTAAAAACTATTGGATACATAGGATATAGTGTACAATACCGTTATATCTTGATTGTATACGTGCACAGATTATAAATACAGTAGGACTGATCAATTACAATTCATTTTAAGGCTGTAACATTTATTAAAAGAAAAGGCGAGGGCTATTTCGATACGACAGAAGACTTAAGGATAACCCCGCGGTGAAGGAGTTAGTTAACCAAACCTGGAAATCGAAGCCAAACTCTTCTGTCAATGATAGAATCAGCTTGGTTCGTTCAGCTCTAGCGCTTTGGAGCAAACAACAGTATCAGAATAGCCGCGAAAAAATTGAACAAAAGCGCAT